GTTGCTCTTGTTGTTGCTCTTGTTGTTGCTCTTGTTGCTGCTCTTGTTGTTGCTCTTGTTGTTGCTCTTGTTGTTGCTCTTGTTGTTGCTCTTGTTGTTGTTGTTGTTGTTGTTGTTGTCCTTGCTGTCTTTGTTGTTTTTGCTGCTGCTGCTGTTGTTGTTGTTCTTGCTGTTGTTCTTGCTGTTGTTCTTGCTGTTGTTCTTGCTGTTGTTCTTGCTGTTGTTCTTGCTGTTGTTCTCGCTGTTGTTGTTGCTCTTGCTGTTGTTGTTGTCCTTGCTGTTGTTCTTGCTGTTGTTCTTGCTGTTGTTCTTGCTGTTGTTCTTGCTGTTGTTCTTGCTGTTGTTCTTGCTGTTGTTCTTGCTGTTGTTGATGTTCTTGCCCTTCCTCAAGGCCATCTGCTGCCCACATGAGAGGCCTTCAGTGTTTACTTTAAAGGCGTCTCAGGGGTCCTTTAGTGTTTACATTAAGGGCGCCCTAGGGGTCCTTCAGTGTTTACATTAAAGGCGCCTTAAGGGTCCTTTAGTGTTCACACGAAAGGGGAGGGGAGTCCTTTAGCATTCACATTAGAGGCGTCTTAGGGGTCCTTTAGTGTTCACATTAAAGGCGAAGAGCATTCACTTTCAAGGCGTCTTAGGGGTCCTTTAGTGTTCACATTAACGGCGAAGAGTGTTCGGGGATTTCTAATAGTATTTAAATAGAGTACTCTAAGGCCAATGAGATTGTTTCATTTCGACAACAAGTCAACACTTCTCCCTATTTCCTTCTTAGGATGGGGAGAAATGTAGGCAAGAAACGAGTTGTTTTGAGCTCTAATCATCAATCGACAGGGAGCAAGGGAACCGTGACGGGGAGTGGAATGATGATAGCGAAGAAGAGTGGAATGATGATAGCGAAGAAGAATGGCAGCATGATGATGGTGATGATGATGATGAGGCTGCTGGAGTTGGTTCTCAAGGTGTGACTTTTTCCAGAAGTACCTCTACATCTAGAGGAAGAAGATTGGCCGCAGCTGCGACGTGGCCTAGTACCTCCACTTCTAGAGGAAGAAGGACGTGGGCTAGTACCTCTACTTCTAGAGGAAGAAGATTGGCCGCAGCTGCGACGTGGCCTCCCGCAGATGGACGGAATTACGTCTGCCAGACACACTTTAACTCGCATCACTTAGATTGCACAAGGAATATTCTTCAGCAGAGGAATTACGCAGTAGTTTCTCCATCGTGTGAAGTTGCAGAAAATTGCCAGCAGTGTCTTAACATTGCTCAGGGGAGTTTCGTCCTTATGTTTGCGGCGAGGTGTAGCGGTTTGCATGGCACATGCGCCACAATACGACTGATTCGAATTACATTAAGGCCTACTAAGGATCTCCTGAGTGAACATCTTCAATCTAGGTCCCAAGAACCTGCATCTAGGTCCCAAGAACCTGCATCTACTCGAGACCTTGAAATAAGCGAGTACCAAGATCATGATCTGTATTTACCCTCAGCCCTAAGCTCAGGATTTACAAGGATGGAGAAGAATTGAAGGAGGATTTCTCCCTCGTAGTAAATCTTAGTCTTAGAAGACCTGCGGCCCTTTATCATGATTATGATTTACTCTAATCACAGATAGATCACACGCCTACTACAATTTCCCCGTGCACGGCAGCTTGCCAGGCGTGTCGTATGGAACCGCAAC